TCATCTCCAAACTCTGCAAAATGTAAAAACGTTTCCCTCTGTTCAGGACTATCTGGAGTGTAGAAACAGATTCCAACATCCCCTGCTGACATGTTTACCAGGAACACTAGTTCTGCTGTCTTCCCCTATGAAAAACACCATCACCCTTTTCAAAGCAAAAAACTAACATCTTAGGACAGCAAATCTGAGAGGTTCTTTCAAATTAGCACCAGTTTTCTTTTTTCGTTTTAGTATTTTAGAAGTCCCTACTTCTGAAACATGCGTGAGCCATTTTAGAATTTATTGTGTCAAAAATCTGAACTAACTACCTGCCACCATTCATCAAAAGCTTGGAATGGGTTTATACTAGGTATGAAATGTCCCTCTGGATTTTTAATAATGGATTAATAGTGCTAATAAACGTTTGGGGCAAATGAAGAAAATATGGTGGGATGTTTATTAGACTCACTTCTAAGAACCTGGTAAAATTAAATGGAATCATTTAATGATTGAATGTGCTTGTTTACATTTCCAAGCTGATTAACTTAAATTTAATCTTTGTTTTCTTTCATTAGATGCTGTGGAAGTTCTGTCATTACTTTAATTAGATGCATTAATAAGGTTTTAAGACACCTCTGCACACAACTATTTGCAAATTCAAGAAAACGAACCTAAATCTGCTAGGTGGAAGTCTTATTTCCAGTGTGTTAGCTGGAAGTTAGTTACATTTTTAAAAGTCTTTAAAAATATTGCTTTTAATGTATGTATGAGAGTGTTTACTGGAATCAGTAAGGAATCATAATCCATTTTAGTTCTCATTTAGATCTCAGAATGTACTGCAGCTCCCAGTAGGAACTTAAGATCCTTATCTGCATTTCATGTAATGAGCCTAAACACCACAGTCCTGAAAATAAAGACAAAAATTAAACAAGTATGGATTTGCTGCTACAGAAGAGAAAAAAAGTCTGCATACATTCTCATAACACAAATCCCATATTAAGTAGATGTTCAATTCATATTTATCTCAAAGGAACATAAAACTTGAAGTTCATTTTGAAATTGGCAGTCTCTCTGAAACAAGATGAGTTCTTGTAGGCCCTGGGTTGTGTGCTGTGTTTAACCATTTCAAATGTGGAGCAACGATGGATTCTTTGACTTAAAATTTGAGATGGGTGTGAAAACTTTGCACAATTACATTTGTCTAAGTTACATATCTGACCCATCAGTAATGCAAGAATCTATGTGTTCACCTGTGGAAATCATCGAGATACATGGAAAATATTTCAGTATTTAGTGCTTTAAGCTTCGTGTCTAACTCTCTTGTTATTAGTGACAACCTTATTTGCATTGATGTAATTTTCTTCACCTGGGAATTACCTTTTTTCTTGCACACCTGCATAACAGAACTTGAGCACAAAAACTAAGATTTATAAATATGTAATTGGTAGCATATATCAGCACGAACTATAAGGTTTTCTCTTAAGAAGCATTATATAATAAATGACTCCTATTAAAATGGTCTAATTAGTTTTAAGTATTTAACCAGCATTAACAAAGAGATTCAAAACCCAGCCTACCTAGACTGCATATTAGCTTATAATGACTTAGGAGTAATCAGCTTTCCCAGATGGCTTCACAAGAAAGAGAGGAAATAAAAAGAAGATGGTTTGAAAACCAGGTAACTAATTATATACAGATTATTTGTAAACAGCTTCTCTCCTTTGAACAAAAGAAACAAGCTTCACTAAACTGAGCTGAAGCACACAGTGCCAAATACACAACAGAACAATTCTGCCAGAAGTGTGGACCTGTATGATGGATGTAGTGATGAGTGAGATGCTTATCTGGGCAGTGATCAAAACCAAACTGATATTGGCTGTAGCTAACTCGAATGACTGAGCTTTGGGGCAGTTGGGAGGAGTGTGTATCTCTCAGTCTCTCTTTTTGAACAGAGGCCTTTGTCTAAATTCTGAGTGAGACGCTGAATGGCAGATGAGTACATTCTTTCCTGCCTGTTTTCTGGTAACACAGCCTTCCAAGGAGGCTTTTTCCTCTGTCATTCTTTCCTACTTTGAGGAGTTCTAGGAATTCATAATGGATGAAATTGGAAACACTAAAAATTTTATTCCACCTTTTATGGCTTCTTTAGTAATGCTCTCAAAGTTAATCTTGGAGTAAAATCAGTCCCATGTTTACCTTGAAATAAATGACATATTCTGAGAATCAATTTTGCTTTGTTTTTTAAAAGATTTATCATTTATTATTTGAAAGGCAAAGTTACAGAGAAGCAGAGAGAGAGAGAGAGAGAGAGAGAGAGGTCATCTGCCAGTTCACTCCGCACACCAGAGCTGGACCTATTCAGGAGCCAGGAGCTTCTTCCAGATCTCCCACGTGGATGCAGGGGCCCAAGGACTTGGGCCATTCTCCACTGCTTTCCCACAATAGAGAGCTGGATCAGAAGTGGAGCAGCCTGGACTCGAACTGATGCCCACATGGGATGCTGGCACTGCAGGTGGTGGCCAAACCACATCCTCAGCCCCTCAGTTTTGCTTCTTGATAGTACTGTACTAATTGAAGTTTGGTTGAAGTCAGTAGTGGTTGCTATATGTCAAGTATTGAATTAGTGTTTGGTTCTCATTTACTCATAAAAAACCTCCTGAAGGAGATATTGCTCATATTTTAGAGATAAGAAGGTTCAGACTGCCCCAGGTTAAGCACTTATCCAAGTTAAACAGCTAACAGGTAAGATGACAGGAATCCCATTCTCCTGACTCCCATGCTCCATGTTCTAAATCATCCTGCTACCCAAAAGAAAAACATTTTCATGATTCTCACTTCGTGTATGAATGAAAACGGTTACTCCAGCTGACAAGCATTCTGATCACAGAAAGCCAAGATGTAGCAGGCTATCCCAAAAGCCCGACATTTCTTCATCCACCGTGTTGAAAATCTATACTGTAATCAACAATCATGGGCATCTTCCTCAAAAATTGGGTTGATGTGATAATGATTGTGAATTCACTTACCTATATGCTGGTCATAAATAATACCCTTTTATTCCAAATTGTTCATAGAAAACTTTTGAAATGCTTTGCCGAAGTTCATCTTCCACATCCAAGTACAGCAGAGTACATTCTGGCAATGGGGAAAACAGAAGATCTTTAGGAGAATGTTTCCACTTCATATGTGACTTTTGTAGAATGAGCATAGTGAGGACTAATTTCACTAAAATGTGCCTTAAATAGTTTTCTTAAGGCATCAAGTAATACCTTGCTATATAAGTTGTATTCTTTTGGATTATCTGGCATGCGACTATTTTATTTTCTCTATCTCAATTGATAACTGATAGGGATATATCTCAGTTTGTGGGACCCTCTAAGAAAAAAAAATGCAGCATTATAGAAAAATACTGATTCAAAACGGAGTATTTAGAATTTGCAAAGAAGTCACAATAAATTGCAAACTGGGCAGTATGGCAAATATTCTAAACATCATAAAATCCAGAGAAATAAAAAATATTTTTGTTAATTAATTGCTTACTGAATCTCTGAAATATTTTTTCCTACATTTTTTGGCTTCAAATATTCTTACTGCTGCTGTGGTTTAGATGTCGTTTACCCCACAAGGGTGCATGTGTTGAAATCTTGGTCCCCAGTGTGTTGATAATAGCAGGTGCTGAACCTTTAAGTAGTAGAGCCCTGTGGGAGGTGCTAAGATATGCTTGCAAGGGATTAACAAGGTTTTTGGGACCCCAATTAGTCTCCAGTTGCTCTTTGCTTTCCTGTCTTGTTATATGATCTCTCACTCTTGCCCACACTGCTGCCATTGAGAAGCTATCTGCTATGGGGCCTTCACCAGCCTGGAGTTGATGGAAGCACCATGCCTCAGAGCTAAATACACCTCTTTTCCTTATAAATTTACTCTGCCTCGGGTACTTCATTATAGTCAAGAACTAACACAACTACCTCTTTAACAATCATTTTATATTTGTGTAGCAACTAGAAGTATATTTAGTAGAAACAGCATTCTGAAAACATAGATGATTATTTTTTCCTATTATTGACAGTTCAGAAGAATTTTTTAGCTCTATTACTTGATATTGCCAATGTCAAATATTTTTATCACTTTTGTTAAATTTTGGCTAAGCTGCTGTTTGCAGCAGCGAAATTCTATATGAGTGCCAGTTCATGTACCTGCTACTCCTCTTCCCATCCAGATCTCTGCTTACAGCCTGAGAAAGCAATAGATGATGGCCCAAGTGTTTGGACCCCTGCATCCATGTGGGAGACTTGGAAGAAGTTCCTGGCTCCTGGTTTTGGATGGACCCAGCTCCAGCCATTACAGCCATTTGGGAAATGAATCAAAGGGTAGAGGACCTTTCTCTGTCTCTCCCTCACTCTGTAACTCTGCCTTTCAAATATATAAACAAAATATTTAAAATAATTTGGATAAACCTCTAACAATTTTCCCCATTTGCATGCAGTAAGATTTGGAAGAATTTTCCAATAGAGTAGCCTGTGGCTCCAGGCAATTGTTTTCGTTTGTGACTGTTTGTCCTATGTACCAAATGTTTTAAAAGAACTCCAAAATGAATATTTTGTGTGAAATTCGCTGACTTTTCAATATAGGTAATGTTTACATATTTAAGAAACACTATGTGAATAAGCAAAAGTTTTATGGTGGTCTACACAGAGGAAAATTAAGTTACTGCAACTATATTCAACATGTATTTTATTCTTGTCATTTACAGTTAATATTAATTTGCTTTTTATACCATAATACTAAAACAATCACAATGTTTTGTGCCAGTCTATAATTTACAATGCTTACATTGTCATTTCATACATTTATAATGCTCAGTGTTTGATTCCAAAATGCAAATGTAGGGGGATTAAAGGAGGGTGACATATGAGGGATCTTTGAAAATTTCATGAACAATGCATATTATAAAGAAACTATGCATGGATTTCAAAAATTTTCGCACCAAAAAATCAGCTTATCTTTTCATTCTGTGTTTACAGACTCTTTGAAGTAACCTCCTACGGTTTAAGTTGGAATATGGTCAATGCATCTACCTCACAGGACAGACAATAGCCAGAGAAAGCCAGAGAGAAGCCCTTCTCCTACTTGACTCTGTCTCAGAATGGTCCTAGAATTCTCACATCTATTCATGAAGAAATATTCTTAGCAAATGAAGAATAAAAGAAATGTCCTAATGTAACAGAGTATCTACCAAAAAACAAAATATCAAATGTCAAGCTAAAAGGTAAAGTATTGAAAGCTTCTCCCTGAGATTAAAAACAGGTAAGGATATTTTCTGTCATCTTTTTTTACCAGATATTTTCTGATAAAATTTCAAGTGGGAGCCCATTCAATTCTCTTATTAGCATTTTTTGTCCAATTTCTCTTTGGTTTTATTCTGAGATTCCTAAAGGAACATTTAGGCTATGACTCAGGATTTAAGGCTCTATAAAAGATTCCTTTGTCAAAAAAAAAAAAAAGCTTACTCAATCAAAACAGAAAAACAGAACCACAAAAGATTTTTAAACTACTTCTCTTATTGCCCTTATTACAATATATGCCTTTGCATTGGGACTAATTTCTCCAGTTGTTTTAATTTCCTTTTTCCTAATTTTCTCTGTGTGTCTCTTAAATTTTGGTAATAAAAATCTTCCATGAAGTCTCCAAATAATTCCATAAGCAAACAAAATTCAAAAACTGAACTTTTTTTATTTTTTAACTAGTAATCCATAAAATAAAAATAGTCATATAGTTTATGTATCTTTATAACATTATCTCACCCACTGAAGTTTTCATTTCTTTGGGGGAGCTTGAATAAAGGATGTAGAATATATAAATGATAAAATAAATGTCTTCAGTCCCTGCAGTACAAGCTCTCTACTACTGAATAACAGATTGTCCAGAAATGTGGTGGCCAAAAACAATAAATACTTACTAGCTCACAGTTTCTGTCAATCAGAAACTCAGAAGCAGTTTGGATGAATCCTGTGATAGTGCAATTACAATATTTCCCTGGATTGTCATCAACTGAAGGTGGAACTAGAACTAAAGGACTTTCTTCCAAAGATTTTGGTCCCCAATGTTGTGGGATGGAGGCTTCTCTTTAAGGTAGGGCAACTGGCTTCTCCCAGAACAGATGATCCAAGAAAGAGAGCAAAAGCGTAAGAGAGCAGGTAGCCTTAGTGCCATTTATGACCTCATCTTAATGGAGACACTCTTTCTTCCCTCCTATCTTTTTAGCCAGACAGACCAACTCTAGCATGATGTGAAGAGTTCTACACCAGAAGATGAAGGCCAAGGGATGATGTTGAAGGCTAGCTACTGATGCAACAAAGGAATTCCTTTCATATTTCACCTTAAAGGTTCATTTCATTTTGGAAATAGCTGGCAAAATCAATCAAAAGAGATGAACCAAAAATATTTGCTGTATTTTATGTCATAGATAGCTAGCCATCTTCATGAATTTTAACAGTGATTTTCCTATTAATAAAAATAGAGAAATTTTTAATTAATTTAAATATGGGTCTAAGTGTATGTAGCCAATTTTTGTTTATTCTTTAATGTAGAGGGATTTTATATTAGACTCTATTTAATATTGTACACTGACATAACGAAATACTTGGTCAAGAGTTTTATATTCTTTCAGAATAAGTGAAATCCATAGTAGATAATTTGCAAAATTTTGTCACTGCCATCCAAATGAAACAAACAAAGCCCAGACATATTCTGAGTGAATTAACTGAACCTGAGTCTATAGCCCAGCTACTGACTCGGTCATAATTAAGTGCTAATCTCATGGGTGTGCTGTTTTGTGAGGCAGTAAACCAGTTTCCTGAGTGGATAAGCAAGGAGGTTGAAAGCCAAGGAGCTTAACCTATCAAGGAACTGCATTTTCTTGTGGAAAAAGAGCAGACCTACCTGTTTTGGCTATTAGGATAGGAGTGAGAATTCCTAAAATGTGAAAGAATAAGTCTTTTTAAAAGTTGGGTAAAGGGAACTGCGGGATATAGAAGAGTGTTTCATATGCTCATAGTCTATATTAAGTGTCTTCTGTAGAATTCAACAATAAAAGCATTTATCTACTTGTCAAATACCTTCTACCTGTAAAAGATCTTCTATATGAGCACTGACACTCTTAAATATTCAAGGTAAAATGAAGTACAAATTTCTTCTAGTCTACCAACAGTTCCCTAGCCCACTTCCACCATGAACCTCCAAGATGAATGAAACAAGATCCCAAGAAGTGAAATAACATGTCCAAATCTAACTGTCACTAAAATAGTCAATATTCTGACTGGATGGAAATCGAATTCTAGTTATACACATACTATTTGATTCTGAGAGCTTAAATTGTATGGTTTGATTTGTTCATCAGTAAACCAAAGAAATAATCCCAGTGATTATAAACTCAACCGAAATGAGCCAGGCAGTGCTATAGACATCCCTCAAAGAGTTTTTAGACTGTGAGAGAGTTAAAGATTAAGTTTGCCGTAGGAACTACAACTCTGCTGTAGTTTGGATGTCTCTATTCCTTCAAAATTCCTGCCTTGAAATCCTTTGGAGGATGATGCAGCCTTTGGAGGACGATTAGGTCCTCAGGACAGAGCCCTCAAGAATGAGAATAGCACTCAAATAAAAGAGGCCCAGAGAAGCCTGTTTTGTCCCTTTGCTTTCTATCATGTGGGGATACAAGGGTAAAATACTGTCCCCCCAAAAGGGGGATTTTAACAGGGACTAATTGATTTTTGAAAGCCCCATAAGTAAATAAATAAATGAGATAATTCCAGTCATTAGAATGCTCTGAAGAGAACAGAACTAAAGGCACAGTGAGGATGGGGTATGACAAGCTGTTCAGGGCCCATGGGAAGAACATGTGCCTTCAGCTAGCAGTTACAGCAGTTGGAGAGGTTTTTCTGTGACTCTGCACTTGAACTGAGGCCTGAAGAAGAGGTAAAGCCAGTCATAAAAAATCCCAGGAGGAGAGAATTCCAAAGAGAGGCCTGGTCAGGATCCAGGCAGATGTGAGAAAGGATCTTGAAGACAGCAAGGAGAGTCACAGAATAGAATTTAGGTGATAAGAAAGAGTCAGATGTGTCAGGTGATTGGATTTTATTTGACCTGTATCAGAGAATCTCAACAAAAGGCATGATGGGATCTGATTCAGACTTTGTAAGTTTTCAGCTCTGGCTCAGTGGTTCTTTGGTACGGAGGCTATCATGTGGCACTGTAGGAGATTTTACAGCAGCCCTGGCTTCTACACACTAGTGGTCCCCAAGTTGTGAAAACCGAATCATCTCCAGACATTGATGCAGGTCCTGAAACAAGGGGCAAACATCTTTCCTGCAGGGCATGAGGGTGGCAAAGATGGCACCGAGAGGAAGTTAGATGGGCGGAGTCCGAGTTGTTTACAAGAAAACTTGAATGGGCACAGGCATCAGTAAGAGAACAGCACATGAACCTTACGGAAACCGAGCGCATGATAGGGTAACCTTTAAAACGATTGGCTGGCTTCTCTTCCCCTCCCTAGAGCTCTGTGGTTTTTTGCTTTAAAAGAGGCTCACTGTGCAATAATAAACGAGTTCTTGCTTGACTCCCCATGGCGTCTGATTGTCTCCGGGATCAAGGGAGGCTGGGGAATGGGCGAGCAGCGCACTTACCTTTCATCAGACCCAGTCCATTCTCGTTCAGGTGGACTAAGACCCTGCACTTTCCCAGTTGCAAACCACTGCTTTACAATTCTATTTTTGGTTTCTGCGTGGAAAATTGGCTGAACAGTCATGGGCCTGGTGAGCATGGAAGGAGAGACTGCTGTGAGGCTGTTGCAGCACGTCCAGGGAAAAGAATAGGACTTAATGGTGGAGCAGTAGAGACTGGGAGCTGAGGGGGTGCAGAACATGTTTTGGACGTATTTTGAACACTTAGGAAATATTTTGGACTTTGAACTTATTTGACATAGATGATACATCAACTGTATATCTCGATTTGCCCAAAAGAGACATGGTTCACTCCTATTTTCCTAGTATAATTATTAACAGTGCCCATTTCCAGTTTCCAATGCATCCTCATTTGGAGCATAAAATTACAAAATTACATGGTTTATACAAGTGACAGCCCTGAGATATCTTTTGTATTTTCCTTCTTACCATTTTTATTTAAGGGTCCTTCATTCTAGTCTTTTTTCACTTGATGGAATCAAAAGAACATAACAAGTAGTTATTAATATAAAGTAAGGAATAGGGTAATTCAGAGTAGGATGGATAGGAACTATTCTATGCACTGGTCTACTCGTTTTTCATGGTGAATATAGCTTTACAATTTAAATTACCAGTCATTTCTGGCTTTTTATAGACAACATCTGGGTAAAAAAGAATGAGGTATATATAATAGCAATGCACATATTCATTCATTCCATTTAGCATGTCAGAAAGGGCCATTCTCTTTTAAGTTCCGTAAATTATGTAAGATACACATATTGTTAGACATTTTAACAAAATGTGAATTTGTGAAATATTTTTTTAATTTACCAGTTAAGATAATGTGTCATTTTCTTAATTTTGCTGTGACTAATTAGTCATTGGAGTCCCTGTTATTTTTAATAAGGTCAAGGAGTGTATAATGTTCTTAATTTTTCTGAGACTAATTAGTTGTTGGAGCCCACACTACTATTAATAAGGTCGAGGAGGTGTTGATGCCCATGTGGACTGGGAGGAAATTTGCCAGCGATATTTTTAAAACAATACATTCTTTCAAGGCACAAAACAAGAGGAAGGGAAAGAGAGGTCAGAACAGAAAAAACTGTCTCAGCACAAATCCATTCCCATTGCTGGAGACAACTGACTGAGCAAACACACATGTCTAGGAGGCAGTATGTAGGAATAGGTTACATTCTAGGTAGAGCACTACCACAGCATTCAAGGACTCTTGCAGGGATTTATTTTTCATTATTCTGAGTTAGAGAATGAAACGTCAAGAAAGTTTACCCCTGTAAAGTTGTTCCTATTATCATCCCTATTTTTCAGGTGCAGAGTCGGAGACTTGCAGATGTTTGAGTAACTCATGAAACATCACCTGGCACCTGACAAAATTCCCACCTGAACAACCCTCTTTCTTTCTATCTTACCTATTTGCATTGAGTTCACAATAAAGAGAAGTCTTCTCCATGGTCAGACAACTGACACTGAGAGCTGTGAGTTGGTTTGCTTAAGGACTCATCCACAATGAGTGAGGTAAGGACTTGAATGCAAGTCATCTAATTTTTAGTGCAGTTTATACAACACCCTTTGGATGCTGGGACTGTTAAATTCCAAGGAGTTACACTTGCACTTTCAGCAAACTAGCATAACTTATTCATTTTTCTCAGATGGTCTCATGAATATTTTCACATAGATTAAAGGAAGAGGGATAATGTTCAATTCCATCATAGAGACCTGGAGTATTTAAATGCAATTGTGTGTGTTCTGCTTCTTGAAGCACATGTTGAAGCTTCATATAAAACTTTACTATACTGCCTTTACCAATCCAGAGAGAGTACTTATAATTGTGTAATGTTTAAATATTAGGACTTTGGATTTTGAAAGTTTGAAACTAAATTCTAGTTCATCTCTTGGAACTTTCTGACTCAGTAACTGCATCTGTTTATCTACAAAATGAACATAAGCTGGTCTCAAAATATGATATCAAGGACTAAATAATACTTTCCATAAAAGTAATTATAACAGTAAATACCCAGTGGATAGTATCAAATATTATTTACTAAGGGTACTATTAAAAGTCTATGTAACTACTTGGCCTTTTTGTGCGTTTTGACAATGAAAGGTCTTTTTTGGATGTACCTTGAGAACTCATTGCTGGATCTTACCAGTTATGCAGAAGTGAGATAATTAATATAGATCCTGTCCAATAATATATCCACAAAATTTTCTTATTCTCTTTAGAGTCACAAATATTTTTAGAGCTCATAGGAATTTAAGAATAACTTATTGTTATCTTCTTATTTACAGACTTGTACTATATTGAGTCTAAGGACTGACCCAAAGTCACACAACAATGGGACAAGGTATCTGGCTCTTACTTACTTGTTCATATGTTCTTTCCAAAATAACCATCTTAGCTCTCTGTAACATGTACAGCTTAATTATTTCTCCAGTGAATTCTTTGGTTCCAACAAAATGCAGTACAACAGAAACGGCTCATTTTATTGCTATAGTGAATGTACTTAAAAGAGAACTCAAATTTTAGAATAATCATTTTTTTTTTTAATTTTGGATAGCCAGCTTCTTCTGTGTTACCTTTAAATATGTCAAGAATCTAAATATATATTGATAGTAAGTTTGCCTAGGGGAGATTTAGTTTAGTCTAATTGGCCAAACACTTCCAATTTATTTCTGCTAAACAGGCCTTTGATATGGAGAGATTTATTACTCCTCTTTTTTTCTATCTAGAAGATAAATACAGTCCGAGATCAGAAGAGACTTTTTGTAAACCCAAGAAGGTTTTCAGATTGATGGTTTTTTATGTGTCCTATCTTGTACTGGGCTTTAGCCCTGACCCATTCAGTGTGCTTTAAGTATATTTTATTTCACGTTCTTTTTACATCTTTCTTTGGGTGACTGACCTATGTCTCTGTTCGTTTCTTCACTAATTTGTGTTAACTGCATATTGTTTAAACCAAGGGATTAAGTAGGGAGTCTGTATTGCTTAATAAATTTGCCAGAAGCTGGGTAAACCAGCTTGCCTCTGTTCAGGGAAAGCATGAATGTTTTACAATTCATTCTTGGAAACATTATGAACTCATACAAAAGAACTACTTGCTGCCTTGGATCTTGGACACCACAAAGGACTATTCAATTAAAGCTTCCATTCAATCATAACTGAAAACAGTATTGGGTGAGAATAGGCTTGTTGCAAATGGGTAGTTGGGTAACAGTCTCTTGATAATCCCTTCTTGATCAGTTCTGTATGTGTCCCATATTTTAATTTCTTTCTTTATTATTTCATCTTCTTCATAATGTCTAATTATAATTAAATCACACACTAATAGAGATTTTTGGAAGGCACCCTTTCTCCCAAAGGAACTTGACTAACTGGCTTTCCACCATCTTCCATATCCATTTCAACTTTGATATTGTATCTCCACAGTTGCTTCTTCCTATCTCTCTCACCTTTTCGTGAATAATTTGTACCAGAGAAGGCTCTGAGCAATAAATTATATTAAAGACTCCAACCTCAAATACTTCAGTTCTAACCAATGTAAACTAGTAGAAGACAACCACAAACACCTACCCTACATGCCACCTCTATGCAGTATAAATCAGCATATTCTCTAACTGGATCCATCAGAGTCTAACTCAAGGTGTTTTTAGCCATTTTAAAAACCAAATCACATGCTTGATACAGAGCAGCATGGATGCAAAGTTGAACATAATATTATCCATTTGGATTAGGAGACATAGGTTCCCAAGCATGGAGATAGAAAGAGAGGAATTTGGAAAATCACAAATGTGATAAACATAGCTTATTTGCAGATATCATGTATTGCTATGCTAAACATCATTTTTAGTCAATTTTGAGCACACTCCCTCCCTCAGGTAAAATATAAAGTATTATTCTTTTATTGATCTCTTACCAATATACTAATACATACCAGTTTACGAAAGATTTTTATCCTGAGTAAATCACATCACTACAAGTACTAGTAAATGTTTCAAACACTTGGAAAATGATTCTTGATGAGCTTTGATAATTAGAAAAGGGGAAAAATATTTAAATAACTATTAAACAAACATAAGCACTAAGCCTTTGACACCTAGGGAATTAATACAATGAATAGTGCGATGTGCTGTCATCTCTTGTTAATTATTTTTTGTCTAGCTTCTTAACAAATATGAATTTGTATGTTCCAGGCAAGGTGATCGAAGGTAGGGCTTTTGTATGTTTGTGAAGGCTGATTAAGGCTTAGCAGTTGACTAACAAATGAGCACAGTTAATTAACTTAGTTAATGTCAGTTAATGAGTAATGAGTTCATGAGTAAACTTAGTGAAGTTTTTGTTTTTCTGAAATTGATCGTAATATTCACCTTTTAAGTTTTGCGTAAGAATGTGAATTATTATCTTTGAATCCAATTCATCATCCTATTCATAGGTTAAATCATTACTTCAATCTGTGATTCCAAGACATTGATGATCATGCCTAAAAATAAAGAATGCACATAATGTCATTTTTATACATGAATTGAATTAAATGCATTTTACAATGACCAAGGTCATTTTTTAGAGAGAGAACAATGTTACTATGAACCTTAAAACTTGTATCCCCTGTTTCTTCTTGCCCTGATATTTGTTTTTGAAATTTGATTTACCATAATTCTTAGAGACAAAAATGCAACTATAGATTTGTTGGCAAGTTTAGATTAAGCAAAAACCAAGGTAAGATATTCAGGATCAACTTTTGGAATGGAATTTTTCTAACAAAATGTTCTTTTTATTTTATTTCCTAAAAATTAATTCTTACCCAAAACAAGATGAGCACCTTTTACAAATGTGAAGTTTGAGAGATGAGGCAATAGGCTCACCTCACTTTGTTTTGTAAGTTAGGTCTATCACAGGCTTCTTCTTGTCAGGTGTCCATTAACCAGAAAAGATCTGTTTTATCATATTGTATAGCAGGAACTTTTAAACAATTCATCTATCTCAGCAGAGTAGATTTTGAAAAGATAGCATAGTTTACTGGGGCTCATGAAGAACAGAAAAATGAAATACAGATTAAACATTCTGGGTTACTTTTAGAGTCTTTCACATTAAGAAAAAAATAGAAAATGCCTGCAAAAGCCAAGGCCAGGCCAGGCTGAAGTCAGGGACCTGGAAGTCATTCCAGGTTTCTCATGTGAGTGGCAGGGTCTCAACTACTTGGGCCATCACCTGCTGCCTCCCAGGGTGCACATTAGCAGGAGGCTGGAATCAGGAGCAAAACCAGGAATCAAACCCAGGCACTTTGAGGGATGCCAGCATCTGCATCCCAGGTGGCATCTGAACCTCTGTGCCAAATGCCTATCCCTTGATTTTTTTTTTAACTTTTTACCAGCACATAAAAATTGTACATATTTATGGGGTAGCCTATGCTATTTTGATACATGTATACATTGTGTAATGTTCAAATTAGGATTTCTTTTATAACTACTTGCTATGAATTGAACAGGATTTGGCTCCCCTAACTCATACAGACTTTTAAACTCCAAAGACTTCTGTTAATGGATTAAAGGTGGAGAATTGACCTAATTGTGGCTTCTAAGAGGTAGGCCCAGTGGGAGGTATTTTGGTCATTGGGACCTAACCTAAGAAGGTACTTCTCTGGAGAGGTTTGGTTTTTTTCAAGCCAAGTGTGGCCTAGCTTCTCTCTCTGCTACCGAGCTCACCATGTGAGCCTCCCTCTAAGGCATTCCTCCACTCTCATTGAATGCTAAACTAATTAATGGGTCCTCTGATCTTGGACTGTAAACCTCTACAACTGTAAAACAAAATAAACTTTTCCTGTAGAGTATTTACACTCAAATACTTCAGTTAGAGCAATTAAAAGTTGACAAAACCCTCCTCAAACGTTTATTATTTCTTCATGATGAAAATATTCAAAATCTTTTATTTTAGTCTTCTAAAAATAATATACAGCACATTATTCTTAGCTGTAGTCACCCCACTAGGCAATAGTATACCAGAACACCATTTATCTAACTATAACTTAGCACCCAATAATCAACATTTTCAGATCCTTTGCTTCTCATCTCCCAATCTTCTGGTAACATCATTCTACCCTCAACTTCTAGGAGAAGCATTTTTTAATAGTTCCACATATGATTGAGCTCATGTAGTAATTATCTTTCTGTGCCTGGCTTATTTCATTTAACATGATTTTTTGTGCATTTTACTTAGCATGGATAATAATTTTGACATTAATTTTAGTTTGCTTATAAAATGACCACCCAAAATCTTTCTGATTATGCTAGTAATAAAGAAATTTATTCATAATTTTTGGTAGCAAATGATGGGAACTCAAGTTGAACCACCTTAGGCAAAAGGATTTATTGGCTCATCTAGTCAAAAGGCAGGCAAAAAATTCTAAGTCTTAGAGAAAACAGGGTCCTAGGGCAGATTATTTCCTTAAAAAAATCAGTCAGAAAATGTTTAGTTTCATGATTGTGGTGATAATTTTCCAGCTGTATACATATGTCAAACAAAAAAATTTAAATATGTGTAATTTAATGTATTTTAATTAAACATCAATACATTTGTAAAAAGAAAGTAGATAGAAGGAAGGAGGGTGGGAAGAAAGGAAAGAATGAAAGAATGAAGAAACAAAAATGAAAGTTCTCGAACTTGCATTTCATAAGTTCACCCTGCAAAGGCACTAAGACCTGCAGCCTTTGACAAAATCCCAAGTGTTCTAACAGACCTGGCTTCAATCAAGAGGCAGTGCTAGCTCCTCACTATGAACAGTGATGTGGGGTCTTTGGAAGATGGCCCTTCCAAGCTGGTCCCATCCACAAGGTTGGATGGAACAAAGGAGGTGCCATTATGATCAGCAGAAGCATTTGTGTGTCCTGTGTTTGCATGTCTAATTCTCATGGGCAAGATACACAGATGAATGTGAACTCAACAACATTAAAGAGAGGTCATGCTTGGAAGAAGACTAGTAAAAGCTATACCCTATAGTTCGGGGTGGTTTTTGTTTATTCAGTATGAGAGTGTTGAAAACTCATGGTCAGGATCTTTTTATATATTAGGAAATCTTTTTAAAAAACTGCCATCCATTTTCCCAAGACAAGGCATGCCATGGGGAGGAGGAACAGTTTGAGAAAAGGAGAAGATTTACAATAATTATGAAAATATATCATTCTTAAAATTCCTATATAAAGATTGCTATAGTAAACCCAACAAATATTGTTATTTAAACAATAGACAAGCTTTGCTGCAAAATGAGGGGTGCAAAATGGCAAAACACATACATATCTGTTATTACAATATATTCATACTTGATGGATAGTAGTGAACTACAGAGAACATTGTGATTTTGGAGTGGTTACTAATCCAATTAGCAAAATACTGTCTGGTTTCTCTCCACTTTTTTTCCCTTGGAAGAACTCTGAGTCATTAGTTGGTAAAGCCAAGAGTAAAAAGGAAAAAGGAAAAGGGAGAAGTAATGGTTTCTGATCCATTATGGAAGACTCTTTAAAGTTTTATGCATGCATCTTATTTAATACTGACAACCCTGACTCTTATTCACCACCACCTATTTTACAAGCAGAAGCTGAATCTTAGAAGAATCAATCCAATTACTTATATTTAATCAAGATAGTCATGCTAAATCTCTGAAACTCCAAAACCTGTGTTCTTTATCTTATGTCATTCTCTTTACCATTTACAATCTGGCAGAGAAAAGAAAGGGCACCATTTAGGATAACTATTTAATTCTATAATTTAGTGTGGTTAAGCTAACTCCTGAATTTCTAGTCTTGTTTGCTGATAGTCCAGTATGTCCCTTCCTCTCCATTTTCCTTTTGCTTCTGCATTTCCAGATAGCCAGAAACTCCTATAGGTAAACATATCATTAATTGCGGGCAGGGGAGGGGAAGACACCTCTGGATTCTCTTTTTCATTGATCCTCTTGATCATTCATTGTAAACGTAGGTATGGATAAGGATAAAACCATCTGCTAAAATTTCAATGATATAAGATGAGAAAAATTAATATTTAGTTTGGTTCTGCTGTCTATACTACTTTCATCAGAAGTTTTATTGTTATGATCACATTTAATTTACACAAACATGGATTTATTATTTTTATCTTAACTATGTGAAAAGCACAAAATCTAATGAATTTACCTACTCACTAATTGGTGGAATCAAATTAAGATCTGATATCAACTTTCAGACCCATTCCATATACTACATAGTTATTACGTATGTTACAATTATGAAGGGTTGTACTGTTGGAAAGTTTGGAGTGTAAACTATTCTGAAAGACTTGATTGAACAAATGTGAGTATAAATCAAGGTCCTGATTTATTCTAGTCACTGGGCTGGGTCCTGAGATAAAGAGAATTGGAATTGGCCTAGTATGTATGATTCCACTAGGGCTGCTCACATTCCATTATGGAGCACTGGGTTCTAGTTCCTCTACACCCGATTCCAGCTTCCAGCTAGTGTACACCAAGAGAGGCTGCAGGTGAGCCCTTCCCAGTCACGTTGAGTACTCAGGTTGAGCTCCCAGTTCCTGGTTTTGGCTTGGCCCAGCCCTGGCCATTGTGGGCATCTGCAGAGTGAAACAATAGATGGGAGAATTATCTTCGTTGGTGTGTCTGTCCGTCTGTTTCTACTTCTCTCCCTCCTCCCCCATCTGCCTTTCACATAAATAGTTTTTAAAGATGTTTTTAAAGAGAACTTAAACATTCCTCACCCTTCAGGAGCTCAAGATATTTTGCAGGAGGCAGAATGGGGTTAATTTGAATAGATCAGATGGTAACACAATCGTAGAAGAGGTACAAATAAATTAAGACCAAGTATCTGATCTCAAGAAATCATCTTATTGTAAAACTACACATGTATATGTTCATTTTTAACTTATGTTTTAATTTTTAACCATGTTCTAAGGAAATCTTTCTGAATGATGAAGTTCCAGGTTTAGCAAATATCTTTGCACTATTTGTCTCAAGATGGATTTCCCTATGAAACCACTATACAGTACTTTTAAAATTTTTCTATGCTTCAAATATTTTTTATTCTAAATGTTTTGTCACTTCAGAGGAACCTTTGATTCTAAAGAACTAATGCTTCTTTATTACTAATATTAACTTACATTTTTTCTATAATTTTGAACAAAAGCTATGTCTTAAATGAAAACAAGAAAGTGTGGATTTCAAACAAACAATTTAACCAGAAATGTCTGCTCTTTTAGATTTGTGACAAATCTGGTTAAGACCTTATAAGAATTTTATAATTGTTTTCAGAATGGAAACAATTTTGCATTACTATAAACTAGTAAAATATTTTATGATCTCCCTGTGTGCCAACATGAAAATTAACTATAGGCAGAGCTAAGCTGGGTTTAGAAAGTCGCAGTGTAATTTAGGTTTCCTTAACACTCAAATGTCTCCTTGGAAGTTTAATCCCATAGTTACAGATTTACTTTAATAGCTTAAGAGTTCTTAACTTATGTGACATATAAATATGCCATAGAAAATAATATCTTAATTTTTGAGTCTAATAATTACTAAAACTAAGCATGTGCCTATCCTTTAATATAAAATTGCAAATGTTCTAGTAGATGCATACCCACAGAAATGTATACATATGTTTACAGAACTAACATCTTTCAACAACATTATCTAAAATAGCACCCGATGAACACTACTGGAAGAGTTGTCAACAGAATAGTTGGTACATAAACTGTGATTTAGTCCTCAAGGAGAAACCCATCATTGAGAATGACCAATTGCAACTGCTACAACAAGAAAGGCAAGTCTCCCAAACATAGTATTGATCGAAAGAATTGAGATGGAAAAAATAGCCTACTCAATGCTTCATAAATTCCAAGTCCCAAATGAGTTCAAAGTTATCTTTGATGGTAGAAGTCAGAAGAGATTCCCCTTTGTGTGGATGAGGGTAGTTACTACAAGCAAGCAAGCACAGAAGAGCTTCCAACGGCTGGCAATGTCCTGTTTCCTGACCTGAGTTCTCACCATTCCCGAGGTTTGGAAAAACACTGGAGGGCACCTTTATATTTGTGCACTTTGTGTATGTTATGTTCTACCTCAATAAAAATGTAAGAAAATAATACAAAGCTCTGCAAGTTAGTATAATTTAATACCAATGAGTTGAATGTTTGTGTTTTCACTAAGTCATGTGTTAGAACCACAATGTCTGAATACAGATTTAGGGTGCAGCATAAAAAAAAGATGATTTTGAAAGAGAAGGCTATGGATGCTGGCTGTATAAAGCTGTACAATTGCAGAAAAGGAAATGGGACCAGTGCTTCACCAAGACTTTATCTCATTGTAACTCAGCATTGGTCTCTGAGAGGGAGAAAATTTATTTCCCAGTAGACACTCTCAGAGAGAATGAAATCTCTAGCTTAAAAGTTCTTTACCTCCACTCATTGCATGGCAAGCCCACATTCTGTAGGCACTGAATTGGGTATATGGCTGGGCTGCTTCTTCTTGTTAAGTCTGTTCTTCCAAACACTGTTCTTACCAGTACCATAATAAATGTTCAAGATTCTAACAAATTTATACAATCCCAAAGTCCCTTGATAGTCCTTACATCATGCACCTAAAAAAATCCCCAAATATAGGCAAATTCAGTCTCAATACCTCAGTACTTCTGTTTTTTTTTTAATTTTCATCTTATTAATTGTTTATTTCCCACCATGTATGTACGTATATAACACTTCTCCTATGAATAGCTATTCAGGGACATTTGGCCCTGAAATGATAAATACAGTTCTTTTATCTCCTAATAAAAATTGCTACTACTTTTATCTAACACAATTGTAGAAAAAGAAGAGCAAGTAAAGATCTAGCCAGTTGCTCAACTGCTATGAATACTTACTCCATTTCATTAATGGTCATAGAACCATTTTTAGTGAGTAAATTTTATTCCAACTTTCATATTTTCTTATTCATTTAGCCAAACCTCTATTATTTCACACTAAAGTTATTTTCATTTTGGCTTCTATAAAACAGTCTATCTAGGTACATTTCATACCATTCATAGTTTTCCTTAGGGTATATCTTTAGAAGTAGAATTACTGAATCAAAATTATGCATATTTTAAAGCACTAAATTGATCAGAATCATTTTTTATCATTCTTCAAGTTTTCCAAAGGGATTAATTTGGCTCTAAAATAACATCATCAATCATAATTGAATTCTCAAGTGCTTCTGTATATTAAATAGGGATAAAGTTAACATAAACTTCTGTTTAAAGATGTAGGCTGTGAGGTAAAAGCACATTATAGAGTAAATCCTTAAAGACTAAATAGATAAAGGTTCATCTAAATGGATTCATAAACGATTGCGCCACTGCATCAACTTGGGCTCTTGAACAACAATCAGTGTCTGTCTGAAGGTGGGCTATAGTGGGATGCTGTGCTGGTCATGTCCACTTATGTCCTTGAGTTCTACCAATCGGTACCTAAGTGCATTAGCTTGTGTGCTTCCACATCATTTGTATGACAGTTGACATAGTTTTGAGAGAGAAACTTAAGTTCTGGAATGTAAAATTCTAAAGAGATAAATTTTCAAATTATGAAGTCAGAAAGGTAAATTAGATGTCTTCAAAAATACAGTAAAGATATATATTATGAATAAACCATAATGGATTTCAATTTTTTGACACCAAAATAAACTTATCTGTTAATTCCATTTTCCACAAACTTTTTGAAGTGCCCTTGTATGTTAGCACATATTAAAGTAAGAGATTTTATTTTTTCCAAAGTTCATGTGTGGCAATTGTAGTATTAAGTTATTATGATTTAAGATATTCTCTGGAAGGAGAGAGATGATATTCCATCTATATATGATATATATACTCCATGAATCTCATACCAACATCGGTAAACGAGAATTTGTTCAAGGAATGGTTATATTAGCATGATTCCCTAAAATTTGTTAATGCTTCATTGGGTTATATAACCTCAGACAGCAAGAATCACAGAAAATGAGAAGTGAGGCAGGGAAATTGGGAATAAACACAAGGTGGTATCTTAGCGAGCTGCCCAGAGCCTCCTTAGAAGAAGAGCCAGTTGCTCTGTCCTTTAGGATGGCTCTAGAGGTAAATAGAGCAGTCTGTGGGGAGAGAAAGAGTCATTTATCTGTGAGCTTCTCACATCTTGTTTGTATTGGGTTAAAAGTGTCCTTCGAAACCATTGAGTCCTATATTGGCAGCTTGAATTCACTGAACTCTCTGGGCAGCCACTGGGGAAGCTAGAGACTCCATAGATCTGGGTGCCATAGCCTTGGATCTGGGAGCCACTAGAATTACCATTGCAATAGATATAAGGAAAATCAGGTTGAAGCCCATACTTTGGGAGGAAGGGAAAATTTTAGAAACAGTAGGAGTTGAGGCAATGGTGACAATGGATAGGAGTTTCCACTAAGCAGGGAACCAAGGCCCAGGGATTAGGTTATGCCAAGTGAAGCTAGGAAGATCGTGGACTCTATCCAATGGAGTTTAAAGGCCCAGGCAGCTTCTTCACCCTTTAAGACATGCATATCTTATATAAGAACTTATGGGAAGTGCAAGAACATTCCAGGGATATGATAAGTGGTAGTTTCTTGAAAGACTGGAGAAAGATTAGCCATCCAAGTCATGCTCCCTCACTGCTGGAGCTAGATATGGATCTCTAATAATTATTATCACCCTCCTTTATTACCCTTTCCAGATTTCCTCACCTTCAGCCGATTCTTTAGGCTGTTCTGGGTTGCCTGGTGGATGGGATGGCATGGTCATTTTTCAGGAGTCTTCATTTGCCCACTCAAACTTGTTATTAGTTTTGGAAACAGATATTTCTCAAGTGAACATTTCTGAGTTCCAGACACAATCTTCTCTGCCTTTATTGTTTGGTGGGAAACCTGTTTCTTTATGGTCATCACAACTGATCATTCAGCCAACACAGAATCTCCTTTTCGTCTACTGGCTCACTAGTGGGAGATGCAAAAAATGGTCAGGTGTAGTGTGCAACTTAGAACCTTTTCTGTGTGCCATTATGGAAATATCCTCCTGGGGACCTGGACTTCTAGCTGCAGGGTGATGGTGGGAGGGGCTGGTTATTTACTATTGAGCCACTAGAGTCATTTCTTTATTTGGGACAACACCACAAACAACAACACGTGATCAATTGCTTGTCATTGAGGACAACTTGAGGTTAAATAGGGAGGAGGCAGTTTCAGCCCATTCTTCACTCTTGGTGATCACATTACCCTATAGCGTGTTCATTGCTAGCAGTTCTGGGGTTGTATAATCAGGCCTCTGTGGACAACCTGGGGAGGTTAGAATCTCCACAGTTCCAGTAGGATTGGACCCAGGCACTAGAACTTGTTATGGGAAAAGCTGAAAACCGGGTGAGGTTGGATAGGGACAAAAGGGAGTAGGGCTGGAAAAATTTGGGAAGGCCCTATATGGTGAAGAAGATAATATGGATAATTGGTATATGACATACAAAGACCTCTGGGAAATATTAAGGTTATTAATCTAAATAAACAGAAGAGTTAACTGTCATCTTCACATATTTAAGTTGTTTGATCAGAAATCTGATATCCATTTGCTGAGGAATATTAACAAAGTATGCCAATATCACCTTAATTCACGCAGATGGACATTATCATTCTGTCCAAACTTGTGAGGCTAGGATTCTTAGAACTGTAATGCTACATTTATAAAGTAATTCCTCAACCATTTCAAACCAACCTGGAAAACCTAAGCAGTGTACAGAACATGTTTGGAAATCACTGGTGGAGGGAAGTGCCATAGTCACCTAAACCTATTCCTCTTTACTGAGATCGGATGGCTGATTTTTTTTTTTTCTTCTTGAGATGTAGAGAAAATCAGATTATGAGTGGGAACGTAACGGGAGTCGTAAGTTGAAAGTGATAAGTAATGCTGGGTGACATCAGCCTTAGCTCATGTTCATTCACATTAGCTGATGCCCACCAGCCGTTCAGAGACACTCCACTCTGAAAGTATCCTAAAGGACCATGAAACATTATGTTTATGCTTTCATGTGATCATGAATATTGCACTAGGCAAATATTTTAGAAAAGTCTTTTTACCATGTCTAGTTAAAATTATTTTTATTGAAAATATCAATTCAGCTTAGTTGTTTATAGATTATTTGCCTGTGAGTTGTTTTATAGAGAACAGGCAATGGAAAGCTACCTCAGATGCATAATAAATACTTGTAAGTACTTGTTTGTTGAGTATGGATTAGCTTAGGGCAAAACCTACCCATTGGCAATATTCTTTTCTTTTTTTAAAATAAAGACTAACTTATAAAGCAAATAAAAATTTTTTTCTGCCTTTATAGGATCTCAAAATTGCCCTAAATAGTAAGATCTAATTCTGAAATCATCTGCCATTGTTTCATTTATCTAAATCTGTGTAACAAATCACACAAGGATTTAGTGGTTTTAAAAGAACAACAATCATATTATTATCTCTCATGGTTTTTGTGGTTCAGGGATTCAGGCAAGGCTCTCAACTGGGCAATCCCTGCTCAACGTTTCTCATGTGGTTGAGTCAGACATTGGCTGAGAAAGCCGGAAAGCAGTGGCTGGAGTATCTGGGGATTGTTCTGGCAGGCAACTTCAGGGCCTTTCCATGTGGTCCCTCTGCATGTGCTAGTTTGGGCTTCTTGCAGCATGGAGGCCTCAAGACAGCTAAATTGCTTCCACTGCAGCTGATGGCCTCCGTAATGACTTAGCCTCAGAAGTCGCACAGGGCTGCTTTGGCTGTAACCTATTGGTCCCAACAGCCACAGGAGTCCGCTCAACTTCAATAGCAGAACATGTGTTCCCCCTCTTTATGGAGAGAGTGGCAAAGTCACCTTCTAAGAAGGAAATGTGGGATGGGACATATCATTGTAGCCATATTTGAAAGTGCAACTAACTACAACCATGTCCAAATATGAAAGCTAATAATTATCTGCTAAATCATGCTGATGATAGTGACCCATGAAAGAGGATTTGCATTGCTGCGTTTCACAGAAAAAAAAAAAACACAAATATCCCTATAAAAATTCAAAAGTATATTTAAAAACATAACAATAGCTGATTGAATTCATATATCACTTATGATCATATAATTCCAGATGTTAGGGATTAAAAAAGCAATATGTAATTAAGAACCGAGACCCTCTCATTCCCCTCTTTTCTC